TAACGCTAACAATCATACTGGTATTATAAAAGCCATGTTTCACTCAATATAAATCGCATCATTACAATGAACATCAATAGTATCAACTATGATAGCATTGACCAATGACCACTAATATCTGAAATTAAAATTTTTCAATAATGATAGAGCAAAATAATAGAGGGAAGCAATTGAAGGCAACACTACGGGAACAGCAATTTTACAATTTCCGATAAAACCCAACGCAAGCAAGCGTCCCCTCCGAGCACACTACCTTCCCTCTCATTTTTATTCAATTTCAATTCAATTCCTCCCAGCAGGGAGTCATTTAAAGACACATATACACACACACATGCATACATACATATGCAATTACATATAAATCAGAAATCGATAAAATACATTCAGTTCTTGAGTACAACGCTGCTATATATATACACACACACACATATATATATACATGTACACACACACACACACACATATATATATATATACATGTACACACACACACACACATATATATATATATACATGCACACACATACAGACACACACACACACACACACACACACACACACACACACACACACACACACACACACACACACACACACACACACACACACACACACACACACACACACACACACACACACACACACACACACACACACACGTATACATTCCGCACTCCAATCCTATATATAATATTATTATTAGTAATAGTGATACTATTGACGCATGCTGCTTGCAGAACGCAACGCTGCAAATTACCCGATGCAAAGTAAATGGCACATTAAATGATGGAATAAAATTAAAATGGAATAGAATAGAATAGAATAGAATAAAGGGAGGAATAGAATAGGGATGGAAAGAGTGCTGATGCATTGATAATGAGTTAGGCATGAAGGAAGTGATAAGGTGAGGAATAAATCATAAAGAAGAATGATTAATGAGTTGTGAGTGATTAAGTGAGCATTTAATTAGAAGAACATGAAGAGTAAATATTATTATGTGAAAGAAAATTAATGGAAAAAACAAATAAAAATTTGACTTTTTTTTTTTGAAAAATTAAATCAATGAACTTTTACACTTTTTTTTTTATTTATTTTGAATTCATAATGAACAAAATGATTAGAGCAATATGGATCGCTTAATCGTACTTTATGTTAGATTGTTTCAATCATAGGTTAATCAGTAATAATCAACTGATTAAATGATGATAAAAGTTATCATAATCTTTTGAATGTCTAATCTTTATGACTGCCAAATTATCATTAGTAGAAGATAATGGCTTATCAGATGCCATTGTCAAATTCAAATAGAAAACAGATAGCCTAATTAGCTATATTTATATCACTTAAATCTTCTTCCATAATAAATAGCACTTAACATGGGTAGCTTCTTGTTAATTTGTTTTAGTGCTTTCTTAATTTAGAAGATAAGAATTATCAGAATGGAATCTTCATTAGATCAAGATTATCAGTGCAAGTAACTGTGTTAATAGTTGCAATCAGTGATAACAGTCCTATAATTCTTTTCTTTTCCATTGTTATCCTAAAATTAGTTTCAATGATCATTTAAGTCAAAATCAAATTTCAGGGTTCCGATATCAAAAAAGACTTAATCTTCGTTTCATTTTGAATTAAATATTCTATCAGCTATAAATCAGAAAAGATTACAATCAGATATTGCAATCGGAAAAGTGTCACTGGAATGACAGCCATGATATTCTCTTTCAGGTTCAAAAACTCACAATATCATTTAAAACATCAAAAAAAAAAAGAGAGAAAAATTGGAAATAAATAAACAATAATAAATGTTTTTATGTTAAGTTAAAATTCAATATTTGCTTATAATCAAATAGAATACAAGTAAACAGAAACTAAATGAATAAATAAACAAAGCTGAGAAAGAAAAAGAATCAATACTAAACAGATGCCATGTATTGGTTCATTTTTCTTCCATTCGAAAAAAGCTGAATAATTAATAGTTGGTGACAACGATGAGATGACAGTTTTATAGCGCTAAATTAATGTTGAATGTACAGATGTACATTTGCGCCTATGATTTGTTATTATTGTAAACATGCAACAAGTGATACGATTATAATTTAGCACATAGAAATAATATTGTTTAACTAATGAAAATGATAATAAATTATAAATATTAACACATTTTAATTTTCATTTTTGTAAACAGTTAAAAGCTTTCAATTTCAAGTAATGCAATAAATTGAAGTTGTTTAGAATAATCGATCATTTCATCCAGTCAATCAAATTTTAAAGATATAAAAAATGAATTCGAATATGTAATCCTAAGTACTACTGCTACTTTTAAACCTTATGGTACTAATGCATATCATTTTCTTTTTCCCAACTTTTATTTTTTTATTTCTTGATTACATTGACTCTGATATGTTGTCTTTTTTCTAATATCTCCAATTGAACATTTATTAAAATGCTTAAATCAAACTTTAGAAACAGTTCGATGGATTTTAGGAAGGAAAGAAGATAGTATAATATATTGATAATAATAAAGATAACAAACATATTGATGTATAGTTGGACAATGTGACAACGGTAGTGAACGCTAATTGGCTATTGGATATGCTGTAATATATTGATATGGTGGGATAATGTGACGATGGTGGTGACAAACTGACATGAAAACCTGAGGAAAACAGTGATGTCGTTGCATTTTAAATGGCTTACAGCATTAATGAATGCATTATAGATGAAAGCTTAACAAATGCCATATTGCTAATATCTCAATTTTAGCCTTAGCAAGCTGCTTTGATCGAAATTTTGATATGAAACATAAACAAGAAGAGTTTTTTACCTGTATACTAACTACTAATAAACAAATGGGAAGTAAAATGATTTAAAAAGTAGCAAATGATGTGATAATTAATGGTTGCTATTTTTGTCATTCATTTCTTGAAATTGATATTAGCTGAAAAAATTTTTTATATAATATATGCCAACCTATTTTTTTTCTGAACAATGATATATGCATAATCATACTTTATTTATTCTTTCTTTATCAGTTAACAACTATTTTGTTTGAGAGTAAGAGTAATTTTTCTAAGTTTTTTCAAAAATCAAACCGAATAAACAATAAAATTGTTTATTACATATATAAAACTGTCAGAGATTGAAAAAATTCAGGGAATTAAATAATTGTTATTTTAATTATCATTTATAGGTGTTTTGCAAATGCAATATTTGAGACGCAATAAAGTTTGACATCTAAAAATCAAAGTGATTTCAATAAAAGTTATTGGATAATTGTCACCAGAAAAAGAAAATGTTGTAAATTTGTAACTTAGAATAAATATTCTTTCTAAAACAGAATATTAGTAGATTATACTACAACTTTATTATCAATGCAACTTGATAAATGCTACTACAACTTTATCAGTGCAACTGAGAAATCAAACTGCAATTAATAGCAATTTTAAAGTAGCTTATGTCACTACTCATATGGTTACTCTGATGTTTGAATTATTATTTTGATAATTTCTTGAGATCAACAAAAAACAATTTACTTAGCTTTCTTCATTTCAAATTAATAATTATACATATTCGAAATATTATCAATAAATTTTGCATTTTTTCTATTGTTCTGTTGTACATTTATAAAGATGAAAAGCTCAAAATGCATTAGTTCGTTGGCTAACAAAAACCACAAATTTCGAGATATCCTGAAGAAATATCCCGAGATATCTAGGATATAACTGTGATAGTGATATTTCATACTTTTCATTCATTAACAATTCCACCAAAACACTGAACGAAAAAGTGAACTCCGCCCTGCAATCAAAAAGAAATACAATTTACCGTAGTATGTGTTGGGCTGGCTGTTCCTTACTTCTGATTACGCCGCACTGAAATTTCGCGCATTTCAACTGCTTTACTGGTAGATGTATTGTTGTGGCAGTGATAAACCGGTCAGTTTAGCTAGTGACCAACCTGTCACATTAACAAATGTCACTTCTACTGCTATCATTTCTAGTGTCAACGATAACAATGACAAAAATAACGATATTAATAAAATTGTGGACGATGAAAAGGTCACCACTCATTTTCATTTTTCTTTTCAAATATTTATAAAATCCAAAAAAAAATTATTCTATTATATCAAGGAAATAATTCATATCATTAAAATATCACAATTTTTATTAAATTTATATTAGCTGTTCTTCTATTTCATTTATTTTCTACTGTAGCACATTTGTACTATAATAATAAAATATTTTTGTAATTATTTTCTCATTTTGTTTATTTCTGTTGTTCTGCACCAGGTAATAATGCAATAATTGGCTGAGAAATGGAAAACTCTGCAAAATTTTGATCACTTCAACAGTTTCTTATTTTTGTTTAAAAAAAAAAAAAGAAAAAAAGAAAAATGATTCTATATCTTATTATAATGTAAATGAAATAAATGAATAATATAATTTGGAGTCAATTTTCTAACCAAAATAAATTCAATCGTTAAATTTTCTAGATTTCCAGAACTGATAAATTTAAATGTGTTAAAATATTTTAGCTATTTTTTGAGATTTTGAAGCTTTTTGAGGTTAAAAACATCAAATTTATTTATCGTATTTCTTTTAAACAGTAATTTTATAATGCTGTCATTTTAACATTATCAAAATTTTTATGCTTTATATAACTTAAATTCCTCTTATTGCTTTTCAATAAGAAATAAGTTTAGTAGAATTAAGCCAAGAAGACAATAATGGCTACTAATGGTAACACTTGGCTATTTTAATGACTTAAAGTGATTGAATAAGTTATACTGATAACAGAGCTATTTTATTTCAAAAAATATAATATATTTTAGTTTGTATTATCAATATGAACATTCTAAAGTGCTACGTACTGTGATGAATTTTTGTTTCTTTAAAATTTACCACCAAAAATAATCTAAAATATTCAAAAAAAAAAATGATTTTAAAGTTAATTTTTAGAGTATCTGCAAGCAATGCCAATTTCCAATCATACACGAATTTATGTCAAAGGTATTCTTTTTCATAGCAATATTAAAAAAAAAAAAAGTAGCTTAAAATTAATTCATTCAATAGGATTTGCTTAATTAATTAATGCAACCTAATCAACAAGAGAATATTGTTTTAAAAAAAAGTTTATTAATTTAACAAATTCAATTCAAAGTGCTAAATATCAATGTACTTTCCGCTCACTCAGTGTTATTTTTAACTATTTTAAAGTTTTCACACCGATTTTTGAGTAAAACATATGCAGTAGCTATATTTTATTTACTCAAAAAGATATAAAAAATTATGAAAAAAATTATTAATTAAAATTTAATCCATTGACTTTGAAATACAATAAGAAAAGATATATTATCATTTCAGAAATAGTATTATCATTAATTGTATAAAAAATAGAACTTATTGCAACAATTTGCTAACTAATTTTTCAATTTCAATAATATATCATAAAATTAATTATTAGTTCGGAAAGTTTTTGAATTAAAATCTTTCAAATAATTTGTTATAGATATGTGATTGGGTGTATCATGAAAATTGTGTTAGATGTTCAGTTTGTTCCATACTTCTCTATGATAGATGTTTCGAAAGGAGTGGACATTTATACTGTCATTTGCATTATTATGAGTAAACTTTTATTAATTATGAAAAAGAGCAAAAATATCATTGATTCAATTTTAAATTTTACTTCAAATATAAATTAAAATGATTTAGTATTAAAGGTTTTTTTTTTTTTTTTCTATAAATATGATAATCTATGCTTACTTCAAAGTAATTCAAATTTTCCTTTTATAGTTAATTTATTTAAAACATTCTTTTTTTTTTTTGATAATATAAATTCTTTGGATTTCAAATTACACATTCTACAGGGAACATAGTCCGAATCGATGTGCAGGTTGTCAACAAGGTATTGCACCAACAGAAATGATCTATAAAGTTAAGGTAGTATAACATTCTTATCAATGAAAATTTAACATTTATCATTTCAAATATTTATTTTCTTTTTTTTTTCTTTTATTTGTTTATTTTTTGAAACTTTTAATGCAAAAATTGCTGCATATTTTTGGTTTATTTTAAACTTTTTTTTTTTTAAATGGCATTTTGATAAGTAAATAACAAATTTTAGGGTGATATATTTTATCATATCACTTGCCATCGATGCATTCAGTGTGGTAAAAGAATATCACAAGGCGAACAAATTTGCATAAATGAAATATCTAAAAGTATTGCATGTATTACTCATACTATTTGCAGCGATGATTGTAAGTTTGCATATGATATTCGAACATTAATTTGAAATTAATTCTGTTACTTAAATTTTTGTAGCATTAAATTAAGTTTTAAAATGAGATGAATTTATGATATATTAGTTTTTTTTTTTTCAAAATTAAAAGAAGAAAAAAAAAACAGGTGAATAAATGAATTTATTCAGTTTCACAGTATTATTATAAAAATAAATATTTGATATTATGATTTAAAATTTCTTATATTTCAGTATTTAGTATTGCAACGTCAACTGAAGCATTATGCATATTAGAAACAGATGACAGTGGTTTGCTTTCTGATGCTTCAAGGTATTTTGTTGTTTTCGATTGCTCCATGTAATATAATTTATTATTCATACTAGATATTGTGATAAAATTTAATTTTACATCGTTAATTTGTTTTGTATTATTTACACAAATGCCACATATTGACAAAAAAAAAAAAAGAAAAAAAACCATTTATACTGAAAATTTTTTGTGAAATTATTTAAATATTCAAAATCTATATGAATTAAATTCTTAAAGACACATTTAGAATGAGATGAAAAGAAGTTGAAAATCTAATGCAATACAAAATTAATTTGCAAATAAATTAGATTTATTTACGGCGCTAATATTAAAATGTTAAAATCATTAATACAACAAATTTGTTGAAAATATTGTTAAGAAAATTGGATTCATCAACAAGCTTTTTCACACATTCGCATGAAACATACTGTTATGAACAAAGTGATGAAAATAATTTTTTAAAACGCAGAGGACCGCGTACTACCATTAAACAGTACCAGGTAATATTCACTTGTAAAATTTAAAATTAATTCAAAACTTTTAAGCATTTAATAAATTATCATTTCTATTATCATTTTCCGTACAATTTTCTTCAATAATTGAATAAAGTGAAATAAATTTTGATTAGTTGCTTGTTTCAGTTAGACGTACTAAATCGAATGTTCATGTCAACTCCAAAACCATCGAAACATGTGAGAGCTAAGCTAGCACTAGAAACAGGTCTCAGTATGCGTGTTATTCAGGTAGATGATATATCTCCAAAAAATAATCCCAAAAAAAAAAAAAAGTTTAATGATTAATTAATGTACTTAAAATTACTCCAATTTCAGGTTTGGTTCCAAAATCGACGAAGCAAAGAGCGACGATTAAAGCATTTATGCAATTATTTGAGAAGATTTGAGCAACGTGGCTTAATACCACCACCAATTGGTTTTGATTGTAATTAACATTCATTCAAGTTTATAAATGTTTATAGCTTTAGCAAACATTTCTCAAAGACGAAATTTTTTTTTTTAATTTTAGCACCTGGAAGAGTATCGTCTACCGAATGTATCACCTTGGAACAATTACTATCATTTCCATTTGAAGCAGACGAAGAAGGAGAAGAAATTGTTAACGATTAATATTAACAAAATTGCTAATCAATGATTTTTGTTGATCTGTAATCTGAAATGATTTTTCTTTAAAATGAAATTTATTTTTTTATTGCTCTTAATCTGTTCCTAGTAAATTATTTGTGATATTAATATTGAATCGTTTAACTTTTGAATTGTGATCACAAAAAAAAGGAAAAAAAAAAACAATCGTAGAAGCGAGAAAAAATTGTCCTGATTACTTATGTAGAATTCTTCTATTACTGAAAATTTCTCTATTATAACTGATCAACCGTATTTTTTTTTTTGTTTACTTTAAATCAGAACAATTTATCAAAATTATTTATTTTAATTAGTTTAAAGTAAATAAAAGCATAGCAAATATTACTTAATTAATTAAAAAATTTGTTCAGTAATATTTGGTTAACCATAATAATTATGGAGGGAACACTTTTCCCTTTCATATTAACTTTATACTAATTTCCTTCATATTAAAAAAAAAAATTTTTTTTTTTTGTAATTTTTATGTAAACTAGAAAATTTGCATAAATTTGTTGTAATATAAAAATGAAAAATGGAAATGACTGATTAATTTTTATTTAATTGTAAGTTTAAAAGTGCTCCTATCGGTACCATCTCGTCATTTCATTCATTTTTCGAGTAATCGTCAATTGTGTATGACAAAACGGTGTTTTGCTTCAGTTTTACAAAAATTAAATTAAAATTTCGGAATATTTGATGAAATAGTATCAAAATTAAAGAATGTGTATGAAAAAAAAAATTAAAAAATCAATGAATATAAAATTGATAAGATTTTTTTGTATGATTTGTTAGTATGGGATTTGAAAAGAAAGATGAGAAATGAATTTTTACATGGTAAAATTGTTAAAATGAATTTAAAGAAGTTAGAAATATGAAACGTGCTGGCTCTCGTCGACGTCGGAAACAGGTGACAATGGAGGAAGAAGTTACTGTTGAAGGTGATATTGCTGGTTCATCTATAGCTGGCGTAAAAAATTTAAAGGTTAGCTAAATCTAATCTTTCTTATTTATAGTTGAAAAATATACTAATTTTCATTTAATTCTAACGTTTAATTCCAAGTTTGCATTTATTATTATTATTATTATTTTTTTTATTATTATTAGCTATTCTTTTTTTATGAACAAAGAAATGTATGAAGGAATAAATGAAATATTTTAAATTTTCGTCAAAATTTTTAATCATAAATTATTGTCATTAGCATTAGAGTAGGAAAATAGCAACTGATAGTAAACAGAGTAGCAACTGATAATAGAAAATTGATTTTTAATTATGTATAAATTTCAATAGTTACTCTAATAGAAGCTAACGTTAATTTTATAGAAAAGTTCTACACGTCGTAGAAAAAGTGGCAGACCAATGACCATTGAAATGGAAAAATTGATTTCTGATTATGTAAATTATATCAGATCAATGGGTTTGCAATATTTATTAATACATTAATATTAATAAAGAATAACTTTAAATTGATTAATAAATAAGGAAAAAATTTCAAAAATTTAATTGCAATTAAAAATAAAATTACACATTTGAATATAAAACATTTAGAAAATTGAAATGATTATCATTCACATTGAGAATGAATAAAATGCATAAAATTTGATGAAATTTCAACTAAAACTTTCTAAAACTAATTGATGAAATTTTATCACTGTTCAAATATTATATTGCAAGAAGCTTACATTAAAAGCTTATTTGTTTTATCTTACATATAAATCTCTCGGTGATTTCTAGGAGTTGCTGGTTTGCGACGAGAATTTGAGGAATTAAAAATGTATGTGCCACCAAACAATGCACATGAGGCATTTACCGCAAATCCTTTTAAAAATCGATATCGTGATGTACCTTGTTTGGATGTTACTCGGTTATTTCAAATTTTTTAAATATTATAGATAATTTAGTATAACGATTAATATTTCATTAAAAATTAAAATAAATCTAAGGAAATTATTTGTAAATTAAAAAACAAACTAATTAAACTTTTAAATCTTAACAAGTATCTATGAATTATTTGTTTTGAAATGATATTCACTTAATTTTATCATCATTTTTAACAGTAAAAGAAGTGAAATAATTTTTTTTTTTTTCTGTATGGTAAAATTTTAGAGTTGTTTTAACATTAAATGTTCCACCTGAAACGGATTATATACATGCGAATTGGCTTAAAATGGATGGTTGCGCTCATCAGTATATCGCTACACAGGTAAGATTAATTATCAAATTGCAATCATTTTAATTTGTTGTATAATTTAAAAAATTGCATTTGAAATTGCAAGCAAAATAATTGCAATCATTTTTCTCTCTTTTCAATTAGCTGTCATTTTAGTTAGATTTCTAATTAATTAATGATTTTTTTTTGATTCAAAATTTGAAAAATCAAAAATCTTTAAAAAATTCAAAATTTCATTCAATCTGGAAATTTTTGTGAATAATTCATTTATCAGTTTATAAAATTAATTAGAAATAAATAACTTCATAACTAATTTACATAAATAATTCCATCTCACATTTTTTTGGTTAGGTAGAAAATTGCAAAAAAAAAATCGGTTTTTGCAAGACGTTGTAAAATTATAAGACATTGATGTGATTGAATGATTGATTAATTAATTGGGTAATTATTATTACCCAATTTTTTTAATCTGTATATTATGGGTTTCTTACCCGTAGGGTCCACTAGAATCAACTGCAAGCGATTTTTGGCGTATGGTACATCAAGAACAAATTACAACGATCATAATGTTGTGCAAAACTTTTGAAGACGGCAAACCGAAATGCTTTCAGTATTGGCCAGCAGAAAATGGTGAAAATAAAACTTACGGTTGTATGTTTGTCATGAATAAGCGAGTTAGTCACAGTCTTTTCTACATTTCATTTCTAAGAAATATGTATGTCATCCGGAATTTAATAACATCCAGAATAATATTTGATAATAGTATAGACCGGAAAAGTGATAAATGATCGTATCAGAGGAGCAGTTAAGCCATTCTGTTTATTTTTGTCTGCTTGACATTTATGATCAGTGGTAAGTGCAAGAATGGAATAGATAAACATAGTTATTTTATTCAGATATTTAAATTAATTTCTATAATAAATTTAATTAAAAATTGATCATGAGCAAGTTTTTCTTTTTCATTAAATTTAAATTGCTTTCTTCAAAAATTATTTTGCAGTCTGAACATGAGGATAAATTTGAAACTTATCTTCTGGAAGTGTTACCGGAAGGTTGTTCAAATTCAACAATCGTAAAGCTTATACATATGACAGATTGGCCGGATCGTGGTGTACCACAAAGTGGAATGACTGTATTAAGGCTAATTCGAATGATGCCTACTGTATTTATTGCAATTTCATTTTTTCTTTTTCATTTTTCAAAATTTCAAATTCTTTTGTTCGTTATCTCACACATTTACAAGTTAATTTGTAATTTTATTTTTCATCATTTCGAGTTTATTAATCCTACCATACTTATGTTATATAACCAATATTTACTCAATTTTTTTGCTATTTCAATAAACTGAAGTAGTTTTTTTTTGATTTTAGAGTTCGACCAGCATAATTCATTGCTCAGCTGGTATTGGTCGTACAGGTACAGTGGTAGCAATTGACACATTATTGTCACGTCTTTGGAAAAACCAACCATTAAATGTAATATTAAATTAGTTAAATATAAATCTACATTTTTTCATAATTTAATTCTTTTTACGTTTACTTCCTTCTTCCACTGCAATTATTAGGTCTAATTTTGATGTTAGGATTAAAATATACCTTTATTAAGTGGTCAGTAGGATGAAAATTTCAACAATACTTCCGGTTAGCATTTATCGGAATGATCAAATTAACGTGAACAAATTTCAGGTACCACAAGTTGTTAAGGAGATGAGAAATCAACGTGCATCAAGCGTACAAAATGAAGCACAATACGTGTTCATCTATACCACTGTATTGGATTATATTAAAGTAAATTCCATTCAAGAACTGAAATGAGTAGAGATTTAGATAAAGTAAGAATACTGAAGCAGAAAAATATACACACTTCTGCACTATTCTCATTTCACGTAACCACCATTCACGTAAACACCTTATTTGACAAGCTTTTTTTTTTCTCTTATTTGTCTAGAAAAACTATCAGGAAAGACATTTGTGGAAGCATTTCATTCTAGCACATTCTATAATTTTGCATTTCAGGCGAAATTACCATTGAAGTATCGTGAATTTGCTGTTTCATTTCATGCAGAAGTGAAGAAGGCAAATATGATTTAAACTATTTTAGCCTTACTTTTTTCCTCATTCATTCAATGAGAGAAATAAATAATTTACTTCAAAAATCAAAATGAATGAAATATTTAAATAAATGGTTATCATATCCTCTTTTATACCATTTGGAATGTGTATTATCACTAGTGATATCACACATTCAATGCAACAAGATAATCAACATTATCTACTGCTCAATTACTAATTTAAATTTAATTTTTATTACTTATTATTACAATTTTTTTGCGTAAAAACTCACAGTAACTCTTATTCAAATATTCAAAAATAAAGCAATTACTAATATTTATATTTCAACGTGTAGCGATTGTCGTCACATTCATTCTCACGTATTTCCGCTAATCCACGTATCATTCATCATTCAAATGATCTTTCTATTCTCTATTATTATCTGTCTAATTATTTATCTAATTTTTATAATTGTTAGGGAGATTAAGTATAACAATTCTCTCTCACATATATTCCAATTTTTATTGGTAAAAATTTATTTCGAAATATACATAGAGCTGTAACCAATTAATCAATAATTGTCGTACATAATTAGTTGAACATCTTTGCTTATTGCTATACCTACTTATTTGACAAGCAATCCTATACTTCAACTTGTCGTACCACAAAACCTTATCTTGAAGTGAGTGGAAATAACAGTTTCACAGAGTTTGTTCAAATGCTTCTGCTCGTAGGCCATTAGCGCCATTGGTTGTTTCTCTTTGCTTTC